TAGTAATGTCACAAAGGCATGTTGTGATGTGCAGCAGAGGCTCTTACCACAGTAATACCAATGGGTCCACTCATGGTGAAAGTAACTTAAATTTCTTACAGGCACTGCGCTATCACAACCCGCCCCCCTCTGCCCCGGGGGAGCTTACAGCAGCAGGGGTTGCAATACAACAATGCCTATAAGAAATGTAAGTGTGAGGTGGAGTGCAGGGGGCTCAGGGCAGAGGGTCGGGGTGTGAGGAGGATATAGAAGTTAGGCCAGAAGCCTGGGAATGTGCAGGAGTCAGGGTTGGGATCTATGAGGAGCTCAGGGAAAAGTTGGGGTGTGCAGGAGTTAGGCCAGAAGGCTGGGGATGTGAGGGATGCAGGAGTCAGGGTTGGGATGTATGAGGGGCTCTGGGCAGGAGGGCAGGGTGTGGGGGTGCAGGAGTTAGGGCAGAAGACTGGGGGATATAGGAGTCGGGACAAAGGGGTATGAGTGCATCCCCAGCCAGCTCCTCTAATCTGTCTGGCTGCCTGCTGCTGAGCACAGCAGCCTGCAGGAAGCTGGGAGCCAGGCTGGGAGTGCCCCTCCCCTCCCACTGCAGCCAAGTGCCCAGCTGGCCCACTTCTTGCTGGAGCACTGCACCAGGGTACACTGGCTTACTTTCACCTGTGGGGTCACTGCTGGAAATGCAGAGTGTGAAGTCTACTTCTTTCAGAAGTTGCAATAGTTACACTAACTGAAGCTGACTATACCCAGAGAGCCCAGAAAGTGTTGAACATGGCCATAATTTGTTTCAACTCGCTATCTGATACCCCCAAATTACAGTGAAAAGATGTAAGATAATGTAACAGCATGTAAAAATGATCTCCCCATATCACTATTTCCATGACAAAACAGAAAACTACAGGTCAATGCAAGACGGAAATAAATTTAGGTCTGAAACAAAGGATGTTCACTGGGGTTTAGTCAATGCTCATAATGGAAGGAAAATAACAAGGTAGCTGGCTAAGTGAAAGAAGCTAGCTAAAAAGCATACCAGGGCAAAGAATGAAAAACCTTATTAAAATAAAAAAGTGGAGCACCACTCAGTAATCTCTCCCTCAATGGCTATCAAGCCATTTAAAAGAGGATTAATGGGTTACATTAGCTGAATGGGTTCAGACAATATTACTAGCATATTAAAACCACAAACTTCTTTTGACTATGATTGGAAACAATAAGCTATGTGCCAGGAGATTGCAGTGAACTGCACAGTTCAATAACTGATACAAAGGGTAGATTCAGAGAGAGTCCTGTGGAGGAAGAGCATAGCTTGATATCCTCAGATGCTGGAGACTATGGAAGGAAATGCAGTAACTGCATAGTTAGACCAGAACTCTCTTAACAGTAGGTATGGAGCCAACTGCAAGACCTTGCAATGACAGGCTCAGAATAAAACCTATAAAAATAAACTAGATAACTTAAAAAAAACTGTTCCTCCCCCCAATTCAGTGTCACAGACCATGTGCATTTAGTAAATTTATGGTACTACCTTAAAATAACGATTCATTTCACAAGTATCCAAAGGAGATAAAATTGCATAAATATTAAAACATAAGCACCATCACTCACTACAAGCCCCCTTTACTTTCGGGGGTTCAATATTAAAAGGATTGATTCTGACTGCACTGAAGTTTATAGAAGCCATGTGGCCCCTAAATTGCAAACTTCACGTCATATCTATGGCCTTCATTCTGCCCATTGAATCTCCACTGGTGTCAGCAGAAGTTATGCTGCTAAACCAAGATGATAGTTAATGCCTTCTGTGTGTCAAGGAGCTGCTTCTATGGCCTCAATCAGCTGAGCAAGTCAAACTCTTATTTGTCACAGTGTTCCTACATTTCCATTATGTACATTTAAGGACCTGATCCTGCAAACATTTTCAATACCTGTGTGGTCTCATAGTGGGACTATGGCTTATTTCTGTATGAAAGTTACACAAAATTATCACAAAACATTTCAGTTCATGCTGCACATGCAAATAAGTAATTTGTAGGCTGCAATATGTGCTGCTGGGGTAATGTTTGAGGTGTGTAACAATTTAGGCTCTTTTTGGAGACATGAACAAATAAGTGAGCACAGCAGAGACTTAGCAAGCCGGATTTAGTAAAGAGACATGTAGGTGCATAGGCCAGGGAGAAGAAACTAATCTTGACATCTTCTTTTGGCCAGTTCACAAACTTCTAGCATGACTACATGGAAGGGGGCCAACAGTGATGGACGAACATCACATGGGAGTAAGCACTTCAGGACTGAATGGCCATCAGGTAGCAGGGAGATGGCCACAGAGAATTTAGTTCTGGGTACCTGCTGAAAGTATAATATCAAGTAGAAAGACTGAGGATTATTAGTCTTCAGCTCAACAGGAAAGTTTAAGAAATGGAAATTAAGGCAACTCACAAGTGTTCATAGATTCTTATGAGGCGCATATATGGACTTACCTGGAACTCCCATACCACTTCATGATCTGAATCAATTTACTAGATTTCCTCTCTGGTGTCATTATTTTCAGATAATTAGATTCAGCAAGCCTGACTTTTTGCACCAGGCTACAATGAGCAGCAGCTGTCAGATGTATCTGTGGTTAATAGAGCAAATCTCTCCTCTCTCTGGATGAAAGCGGTAAATACACAAGGTATTTATATTAAATAGTCATTTTGCTTAGAAAATGTAATGGCTATGATTTGCTTTAAGGGTTTTGATAGCTGAATATAAATACATGTAATTCAGATATACTCACAATTATAGTTTTCATACTTGAGCATTTGAATATCAGACAAACCTTAGTACTGCCTCAGTTAGACCCTAATTTCTAGCATTTTCAGTGCTATTCCCAGAGGCTGGGAGAGAAAAGGAAGGACGGAAATATGGGGAGAAATCTTCCCACAACACTTTTTAAAAGATTATACATTAGTTATTTAAGAAAAACTGTGCTGAACTTTGGGTGACTGAAAATATGGCACCATAACTTGTTCCAATGAAAACAAAGTCATCTTTATCTCCTGGAAAAAGGTAAAATTATCGGACAACCAAAACTAAGATCCTGAAAACTATAAACAAAGGAGTGGCAACATATTAAGCTATGGTACATTAGTTTCCTTGACAGTTCATTTGTACTAATATTGCCGGAGAAATCTAAGCTCCACATTTAGTTAATTCTGTAACTGCTAGTAGCAAATATCACCAACAATGGGAGATGGGACATTGCATGTCTGGCTGGCAGGCCTTGCTGAAATACTCAGGGTCTGACCAATTGCCTTCTTTGGGGGTCAGGAAAGACTTTTCCTCCAGGTCAGCTAGGCAGAGACCCTTGGAGAGGGTTCCACCTTCCTCTGCAGCATGGGGCACAGGTCACTTGCTAGTTTCTACTAGAGCAAACAATGGATTTTCTGTGACATGAAGTCTTTAACTCATAATTTGAGGACTTCAGTAGCTCAGCCAGAAGTTATGGGTCTATAACAAAAGTGAGTGGTGGAAGTTCTATGGCATGTGACGTGCAGGAGGTCAAACTAGATGATTATGATGCTCCCTCCTGGCTTTCCAGCCTATACGTCTATAAATTGGCACCTTTCTCTGACTGTTCTTTTATTTGTATAGCTATTGGCAGTAATCAGAATCTTCTAGGCTGCATTTCAAGTTCTAATTTCTTTTCTAGGGATATTACTTTTATTAGACAAAATTAAAGAGCTTCAGTATAAACATCTTGGTTGGCACTAGGACTTGGCAGACAGACTGTAACTCTTCTTTTAAAATATATTTATTCCCTTTCTAACTACAGCACATAAGAAGATTGTGGCAATGGTACCTGACAGACTCGATAATCATCTTACTGAGAATATCAATATAAAGGCTGAAATCTCACTATACATGTAAACACATACACAACTTATTCTTGGGTATGTTTAATGTCAGAATTCACAGTATGAAGGAATGCAAACATGTCCTGTAGGCAGTTTCTTTGAAGTATGGAAAAGCTGAAGAAGGGATTGCTTAAAATTCCTCCCTCACAACTGTATAAAAATTTTATGTTAATCTCTGGTGTAGTAAAACAAGTGTTTTTTAGAAGGTGGTTCTGAAAGACATGCTATTTTCAACACAATTCAGCTTGTGAGAGACACAGAAATAACCAATAAACACTATCAAGTGGCATATTGCAGTGAAGATTCTTTTGTAATTCATTAAAAAACCTGAAGGAATTAAGTTTAAATTTCAAGATAGTTTTGTTGTTGAAGCTAACTCAAAGAATCTGCTGCTGATCATCCTGTTCTTGCACAGGACTGTACAATTTAAGGCCTGGCCCCTGACCTTACTAAAAGCCTCTCCATGGTCGTTAATAGGTTTTCAATCAGGCCTTTAGACATTGCATCCAACTAACTTTAATATTTTTATTTCTTTAAATCCAGGCACTATGATTAGTTTCCCCCATCACATGGAGAGTGTCTGTCTATTAGTATGCCAATAACTAAAAAATACACTCATCTTGCAGGCATGTCAACTGATAGCTCTACCAACAGAATTAATGAGAAGAGCCCTTCTTATACTGAGCTGCAGCTGAATCCTCTCAGTATATTTAAAATATTTAAATATTTCCAATGCCTTAAGTGGATTAAAAAAGAAAAAGGGAGGAAAACCATGTGAAAAGTGGGCAGTCACAAAGCAGTTTCCTGTAAGCAAATTACAACAGATTTCTACAGAAGGGACCCAAATTCACACATACTGTCAATAGAAGATTTGCATCAGAACTCAGTACAATTAAATTATCAAAATGCCAATCTGTAAATCCCTTAATTACCACAACAAAGCAAGGTAATTGACAAGATTAGTCATTTGTTTTGTTGCTAGTTCTATATTTAAGGCACAACCCATTTTTTTCTGAAACCCTTCAAATACATTATGCCAGTAAACATACAACAGATGAGCATTCATGGTTAAGGGCAAATCTTCACACTAGACCAAAGCAAATTGTTCAAAGTCTTTTAAACAACTTGATTTATTATTTGAGCGAGAAAATCTAAGAACTGTTCCATAACTGCAGCTGAGGGTGGTAAAACATAACAAAAATCCATTCAAATACCAGTTCCTGATGTGCTCTATTGCCAATTAAAGCCAATAAAAATAGAGCTGAACACATTTTTAGACAAACTTTTCCAGAAAAATTAAGCTTTGGGGGTTGACATTTTCTGAATTTGTGAATTTAACAGAATTGTCTTGGATTAATATCTTTAAAAAAATCTGAAAAACATCAAAATGTTTTGTTTAGACTTCCAAAATGTTTACATTTTTTAAATTTGAATCTATTTTTCATTTTGAAATCTCCTTTTCATTTTATATAAAGAATTAAACATTAAAAATGCTCAAACAAAACAATGTACACAAACAGCTCAGTGCAACTTCATGTTCACTGTGGAGGTGCAACTGAAAAAACCCACAAAAAACAAAACAGGGCCCAGTACATCAGACATTCCTTCCTGATCAGAGATACTGTTAGCACTTTGGTCAGGCCTGTGGTACCACTGAAATTACTCTCCTGAAGCCCCAGACTCACCAGACAGACAGCTGGAGTTTCCAAATTTTATTTTACATTAACCACTGCTCACCTACATCATGTGAGGTGAGATCATGCTTTCCCCCTCCCCAGCATTTAGCTGTAAATATCTGTAATAACATAAAGAACAATTCAAGTAAGTTCCAGAAGACAAACCCACATGTGTTTGCAAATAATGCCTGTGACCAAGAGACTCTGTTGCAAGAACAAAGACTGGCCAATATGATGATCATGTTTTTCTTACTCTTAATTGTCATGAACAGATGGAGATGGAGAGATTTAAAGGGCCAAATCACAGTCTGTTACATCCGCTGACAATAGCATAGGGCACAGCAGAACTTAGTCCAATGTATTCTCTGCACTCCTCAAAGTGAAGTAACCTAAAATAAGAAAGGACTCTGTTTTCTCAACTGGATGAATAAAAAACCCTTTTTAACAGAATGCTGAATTAAATATGGTCCTTAAGGCACTGTTTGCAACGCTTATGGAGGAAGATGTGTGAAAATGATGTTACATTAAATGCAGGTTTGGGAAATTTTAATTAATTGGAATTTACACAGGAAATTATCTCCATTTGCCCCCCTCATAGGGCTTCTTCTGTCATTCCACTTGACCTCATATTCTATCCCAGGATGGATTACGTTAAGACTGGATCCCCAATGCCGTGGTCGGGATTGCAAGTGAAGGAGATGGTAATGGCATATCGAGTGCCCCAGCGAACCTTTTCCACTCGATGAAGGTTCTCCGACCCAGAGGTGAAAAAGGAAACACGGCCTGTAAGAGACAAAAGTAAGAGATCGGTAACAGAGCTTAACACACCTTTGACTATTGTGTCTCTGTGTGATGTTGCATGTCTTGCCCCATCTGCTATTTCTTTAGGCTTAGCTGCTCTCTGCCCATCTGAAAACTCAGGACTCTGTCACTATGAAGACAAATGGCATCACAACTGTGAGCTACACCTTGAGACAGCCAACTAAGCTAAGTAAAAGGTGCATCAATCCTTTGTGGAAAATGATGAAGATGATGCAGAGTTCAGGTGGGCCAAAGAGCTTGATTAAGAGTGAGAAGAGGCTAGGAAAAATATGAATCCACTTCTAATTTGCGCTCATAAAGCTATAGCATCTCAATACTGAACTACCAGGAACAGGTCTCAGGTTGATTTTTCATGTTGGTCTCTAATGTTACAGAGCAAAGAAGCAGGAAATGCTGCCAAGGTAGCAGAAAGTCCTCCAAAGAAGAAAGAAAAATTACTTTCCCACTCAACGCTCTGCATAACTTTGGAACAGCATAGAGTTAGATTAACTTTCTCCAGATTCCCATTCACTGACATGTCTCAGGAGTGGAATAGCTCCAGGATTAGGAACAGGTTTCAGAGGACAACCCTTTCCCCCCATATCTCTCTAAAACTGGGTCCAGAGCTTCACACGTCACTATAAATCTGATTCAGCATGGTCCTTAAACAGGGGTGCCATGAGGAGGAAAGGGAAAGGGAATGAACAACCTCCTTTGGAAAACTGCTTGGCTTACCAGGGCAACAGTATTACAGTGTCTGCAACTTTGGGGCAAATTGGGATTGTTCCATATGATACCCTAAAGAGATAGGATGCATTTCCCATGGCTCCATCTCTCAAGCACAGGCACCCTACCTCCCCACCCAGATCCCGCTCCCCTAACAGAGCCCACTCCCCAGCAGCCCACTCCTGTACCCTGTACTCATTTTGTCCCCTCCCCTCCCAGAGCCTAGGAAGGCCCAACAAAATTTACTAGCCTCAGGCTCCCAGAAGAATTAATCTGGCCCGGAGGGAGGGGGAAGCCATGGGGCTGTAGCTTGAAGGAAGTGTCTTTTTTTTCTGCTTCTCAGTTGGGGGCCACATCTGTGAGGGTTTTTTCTCTCCTTCTCACTCAGAGGCCAGAACAGTGAGGTTTTGATGGAATTTTTGTTTTGTTTTTACTTTTTACTTGTGTGTGGGTCCTAACTGATTTTTCTATGGGTCCCAACCCAGAAAAGATCTAGGTATCTGAATTAATTTGATCTTCAGCCAACCAATCCATTGTTTATCACATCAATATGCCCAGCTGCTATCCTTTCATTTTTCAGCATGGCTGTATTCAAAATACAGTAAGCATACTATAAAGACAACACTAGTATTGAAGCAATTTAGTGACACTAAGCTTCAATGGTCTTTTTTTAAATATATACCCAGACAGACTGTGCTAAAGTTCCTTATGCAGCAGTTTTCAGGAGAAAACGCCGGTGTGTCATGTATAAGTATCACATTTTGATGCATGTATCACAGCCACTGTAAATAGCCATACCTGGAAACTTTCTACTCAACACTATGCTGCAGCAAAGCACATAACAGACTCTATTTGGAGTGTTGGAGGAGCTCCAGACTGAGCCTGCACATAGAGGGTGAAGTTGGGGGAAGGCTGGGTAGGGCTGGGGAAGGCAAGCCTCAGCCCCATCACCAGCCCCACCCCAGCTGCCTAGTCCCCTAGCCACACCCTCCCAGAACACTACAGGGAGGACATGCGGCTCATGTAGCATGTGGCCCCAGCCTCCTTGGCTCAGAGCATGGGGAGGGAAGGCACTTGGGAGCAGCAACACTCTGCCCCCACTATGCCTACAGTAAGCATTCTGGGAACAGAATACGGGTGGGGCCAGGCTGGTGGTTTGGGAAGACAATGCCAGCTCCTGCCTATTATACTCTCTCCCCCTGAGCCTGGGGCAGCAGGTTGGGATGCAGGAGGATGTTCAGGGTGCAAGCTCGGGGGGGGGGGGGGGGGGGTTGGTGTGGGGCTCAGGGCTGTGGTCCATGATACAGGCTCCAGCTGAGTATTGCTTACCTCAGGCAACTCCCACATGGTGCCACAGTGGGACTAAGGCAGGTGGCTCCGTGTGCTGCTCCGCATCCACAAGCACTGCTCCCACATTTCCTATTGGCCATGGTTCCCTGTTCCCAGCCAATGGGAGCTGCGGGGTAGTACCTGAAGACAACAACAGCATGTGTTCCCTTGTCCTGCCTCCCTCAAGGGCTGCAGGGACATGCTAGCTAGCTGCTTCCCAGAATCTGCTTTAGCCCTGCTGTTCTGTTAGCAGACAATTTCCCAGTTTGGCTGCAGGAGCTCCCCAAGGGATCGAGCCCGATTCCAGGAGATTCCTGACCAATGTTCTGCACGTGGATGGGAAAAAAAGTAGAGGGAAAGAATTTTGTTATGTGCACCAGTATTGAGGTAATGTGTAGATGTGCACCACCCCTAGAAACAAAACACCTAGACAATATATATCTTTAAATAACCCTAGGGATAATTACTCCAGTCAGGAGAGGTTAGGCATTTTAAAACTCAGTACTCAAAGAATTAAATTTAAGAGTAAAGAGAGAAATAAGAATTATGAAAAGCACAGACCAGACAAGAATCTAAAATAACACACTTTGAAAGAAGCAAAAGAAGTAACAACAATGAAAGTATGTACTGGGCCGGGACATGAGTGTAGACAGAATATGTTTGTGTGGGTGACAGAAATTCGCATTGCTTCTCTGTCTGAACATGCTCAGCAATGCAGGAGCCAGCAAGCTCCCTCCATCCAGAGCCTTGTTGTGTCCCCTTCTCTGTGAAGATGAGGTATTGGGGAAGGGGGACAACCTGACATCAGCACTCCCCTTCCCTGCACAAAAGCAGGAGGCTCCGGGAGGGATGGGCAGCTCCAAAGCAGAGGACAAAAGAAGCATGGCACTGGGGGAGGGGCAACTGAAGTGCTGGCACTTGATAGGTGATCCTGACTGGTTTGGCCAGGAGGCTATCAGAGGCTCTGATCTCTACCAGTAGATCCTGATCTGCTAGTTGGATGCTACTGCTCTAATCCCTAAACCATTCCAAGAGTTCATAAAATAGTTAGCAACCTCCCTAAAAATTGTATCTGATGAATGTCAGGACAGGAATTATACTATTAATGGGTGTATTTTCATCTTGATGCAGGGGAGTTTATGTACTCATCTCTCTTTAGCACTGAGGGTTTATTAAGAAAAAAAAAATCACTTTAAAAACTACAAACTGCTTGCCAACACTGCAAACTCATTCATCTTCCTTGAGAGATGAGACCTACTGGATTCCACTGAGGATTATACCTGTACATCATAAGTCCAGAGTTGGGGAATTTGAAAATAGTATTTGCTGCACCACAATGCAGTAGTTCTTTATTCTTAACCGTTTAAAATGCTCAAAGAGAGACCAGTCTCCAGAGAATGATTCATTCCACTCCCAGCAGATGAAAAATTTGAGGAGGTGACTATATCATCATTATTCAGAGACTCTTGGGAAAAGACATCAGTGAAAATGAAATGTCACAGGAACAGAAACTTTGAGAAGTCAAATGGTTCATAGTTATATGTCAAATATTAGAGAACAAGGGCAGAGAGAGAGATGCTTGTATGAAGGCAGTGCAGGTCCTGCTTAGAAAAGCGACCGAAGGCAAAAATGATGTATTATGTGAAAACATCCTGATTCTTTCAGAACAGCTGGAAAACCCACCCAGAGTTTGAATGTTCTTTGCAGTACCAGTATGAGAAGTCAACCAGAACTCCCAATGAGCATGCCGAGCCAGAGAGATTTCCAGGTAGAACTACAATTTACTTCTCTGGGTGCGTCTTCACTGAACCTGTAGCTTGCAATAAGCTACACAATTTGAGCTACACAAATTGTGTGGCTTATTTCAGGTCAATTTCAAAATAGCTTATTTCATAATTTGTCATTATCTATACCGTGCCAAATTTCAAAACAACACGCTATTCCAAAACATTCCTTACTCCTTAAATCTCTTACTCCTCATGGAATGAGGTTTACAGGGACATCGGAATAGCAAGCCCATTATATTTCAAAATAACGAGCTTGCTGTTAAAACATGGGGTAGCTAATTCAGGATATCTCTAGTATCCTGAAATAGTGCTGCAGTGTAGACGTAGCTTCTGTGTGCATATGCAGTACAGTACAGGTTTTATAATTCCTTATTGAAACAAAAACCTTCTCTGAACTCTACTCTATCTTTAACCCACAACTTACAGGAGCTGTTACAAGTTTAATTATTACAAGGAAACAAAAGCTGACTTAGAAACCAACTTCCCAAAAAGGGAGTAAGAGCAGTCTTGTACTTGATGTACTTGTACTTTTGGTCCAAGATGTTAGACCAGCAATTCACAAGCTGTGAACCACAAGCTGCAGAGAGCTGTCTGGTCCATGCTCGTGACTGTTTTCAGCTGCCAGATTGTGTTAAAGGCAGTTACAAATGCATATATGTTTTGTTAAAATAACTCTCTCACATAGCCAACTGCTGTAGTTGCCAAATGGATGGTGTGGGAGGGGAGATGTTCACGAGATTACCACTGTATTTAGAAGTCATTGCAGACTATGAAAACCCCTGGAACTAGACTGTGTTTTGACCTTCCACTCAGAAACACAGACTAATGATATGTTATACGTGGAAAAGAGTAGGTGAGTTAAGAATAGCCATTCATTCCATGTGAAATGTGCATTTTCCTGCCAAGAGTGACATTTGTCTTACAACTTTACACTGTCATCCTGACACTCTGTAATTGTTTCTTTTGTATCTTCCATTCTTGGAGTTGCAACTGCCTTTGATGGATGCTCCTCCCCCTTCCTGCCCCATTTTTACAGATTTCTTTTCAAGCACATTTTTCTGCTTCATTATAGAAGCAGCGATTATTTCTCAGCACATAAATGTCAATTTGCTTAAAGAGCACTTGCTGATAAAATGGCAA